AACATTCTCCATTGATGAAGCAGACCAACAACAAAACTCCATTCATATCTGTAAATTTTGAAAGAAAGGCCACACGATAAACAATTGTGTAAACATAAAGGATACAATAAAAGATGCTTCATAAACGAGTCTATTTGACAAACACTGGCTGAGCCAATATAGACTTTAGGGGTGTCAACACCCCAAAACTTTTTAAAAAGAAAATTTCTTTTATAAATTATATATATATATATATATATATATATATATATAATAAAATTAAAGAAGTGACATCATTTTAAAAAAAATTGATCCCACATTTTAAATATATTTAACAATAAAAAATTTAATATGTATGTAAACGAATCGAGCGCTCAACGAACTATTTGTAAATTAATTGTCGGGAAGTTCATTTATGTTCGTTTATTTATTAAATGAACGAACATGAACAATATTTTATGTTCGTTTAATTAAATGAACGAACACGAATAAGGCTTGTTCATTCATTTACTCTCGTGAACGTTCAGTAATCCGTTCATTTATGTTTGTTCGTTTATATTCAATCCAATCTCCAGAGCCGTTTGAAATATTAATATATAATAATTTTTTAACTTAAACCCATTAATATTTTAAAATCCAATTAATTATAAACTCCAATAGAAATAGTCAATTTGTTTCGTTTAATGAGAGTATATCTCCATTGTGGGCTTTCGACAGAGCTATATAAATATCCTCGGATGCCCAGCGTGTTGGGACGTGCATGGCGACCTTTGGGGGCTGCATGGATTGCATGGCGACCTACCTAGGTCGCTGGGCGTGCATGGCGACCTAGTAGGTCGCTGGGCGTGCATGGCGACCTATATGGGGACTGTAGAGATCACCCCATCTGAGCAATTAATCTGGCGATGGCACTATCTCGTGAAAAAAAAAATTCAACGCATTATCTCGTTGATTTTGCCGAAAGAATAGGGTCTCAGTAAAAACATTCATCGATATTTTTTACCAACTCAAATCAATGATTGGTATTAAATTATGGATGAAGGAAAAGAAAAATCGAAGATCAGTATTAAATTATGAATGAAGGAAGAATGAAGGAATAGACTACCCAAAGATTATTATTCATGTTAAAACTCAGTACATCATCCCTTCAGTACATCCCTGCATGGTAACAAAACCAGGCCATACCAAACAATACATATGCGTCGATCAACAGCTAACAGCAACCAAACAATACACTGCATTCTTCATTTTTATCAAGCTTTGGAAAGTAGATATTTGTCAAAGCTTGTTTCAACTGAATACTTCGTGTAGCTAAAAATAAATTTAAAGAAGCTAATAAAATCTGTGTGGTGTTAATAACATATAAAGTTTCGTAAACTACAAAATATAGGACTTTACCCCGAAGGGAATCCTTCCAGAAATTCTCAAAGGCCAAGGGTGAACCGAGGCCAAAGAGGGGGTTTGGAAATAGTTTTCAACCAGCAATAGACGCGCCTCGGTTATTACCTCACAAGCTGCGTCATTGCCCCAAGCGCAAAGATACTTCTCACAATGCTTGTTAACTCCATTTTATAATACATGCAAGACTTGTCAATTTATTCTCCAACCGATGTGGAATCTCCCATTAATTCACGAGATTGCTGTAAAAGTGGCGTTTCTGCTGTTTAGAGGAAGCTGCTCTTTTTGTTTTTCTACTCTATGTTGAGTTTGATCTTGAGTGTGATCAATGAGAGAATTGTGGTTTTTTTTCTTTTTCAAAATAAATTTCATTGGATAGAAATAGTAATAGTAATAAACAGCATGAATGATTTGGAATAAAAATGTTATACAACTGACAAAATGTAACTTGAATATGGCTGTAATTTGGACAGATAGTAAAATATTGAAATATAAGAAACACCTGTGTAGTGGCTGCAATTGCAGCACCCCCAAACTCTTCAACATAAGAGTTGTTTAATTGATCAAACAACTTGGGCAAACATGGCCTTAGTGATGAAGTATCATGATAGCTCGAGTCAATAAAGTGGCTAAACAACTTTATTCGGTTCGGTTAATGATTTAAAAAATAAAATGTTCGATTTAGTTAACGATTAAAGAAAAAAATGATTAATTCAATTAATGATAATTTGGTCGGTTCGGTGGCCGAACTGATCATTTGAACACCCGTAGTATATAGTCTTTAATTATCATCCCAAATTCCCTTAAATCTGCCTCATAAATTTGTTTTTTGTAGATGACTTGATGTTTACCAAGTGTTCATTTGACTGTCTTAGGTGTGTGGGGAGTTATGAAGTTGTTTTACAACTTCTTGGATATGAATGAACTCAGTTAAGTTTAAGATTTTCTCATCAAGTATGAATAATGTAGTTTTATAGAGTATCTTTGAATCAACAGGTGTTAAGAAAGGGAATCTATCTGTGAGATATCTTGGAATACCTTTAATTTTTAGGAGGCTTACTATTAAGGATTGTGTGCCTTCTCATTGACAATACCTCAGTTAGATTACAGAGTTGGAAATTTAAACAATTTTCTTATGTTGAGAGATTACAAGACAACTTATTCAGTCTGTTATCTACAACATCCAGAATTTTTGGAGTTGGCAGCTAATCCTACCTTGTGTAGTTTTTAAGAAAGTTAACTGGTTATGTGTATTGTTCTTTTGGAAAGAGGAGAACAAACATGTCAAGAGTGCAAGAGTTAATTGGTCTACTATTTATTGTCATAAGCCTAAAGGGGGTTTGGCCTTAGGGACGTCGTTAGTCGGAATTATGCTTGTTTTATTTTCTTGTTTCAGAAGCTTCTTCTTAATATGGCTAAATTTGGATTACTTGGATCTATTTTTATGTTATTAAGAATAACTACTACTGGCAGGTACTAGCCCTCAGGGTTGCAGTTGGGCATGGAGGCAATGATAGACGTAAAATTTCATGTTAGGGACGAACTAAAACTTCTAAAATTATAGGAATGAATTTGAACTTATAAAATTTCAGGGGGCTAAAACAGATTTTCAACCTATTGTCATGAGTTGGAGTTTGGAGTTGGCTTGAGCTAGCTGCAGGTTGTGGAAATCCATGCTTTCACTAATGTTGAAGCTTGCTTAGAATGATTACATAGCTTTGATTTGGGGGGAGAGGAATCGCAAGCAGTTTCAAAAGCTCGAAAGCTCGTCATCGGAGATATTCAATCGGATCAAAGAAGCCGACAGGCTCAAGTTATGGGATAAGCAAATTAGTAAGGAACGGCATGTTAATATTGCAATCTGTAAAGGCTGGAATCTTGATGCATAGGTTGGTTGTTGGTCTTTTGTTATTTTTCTGCAGGTTCTTTTTACAGTAATTTGATGTAGCAGTCTGCTGCTTTTTTGCAATACAAAATAAATATTAATTCAACAAAATAATTAAATTAACATATAAAAATTAAGCTGTGATTTACATATAATAGAAAATAAAAAATACTAATGGAATTAATAAAGGAATATATACCATTAAAAATTGCAAATTGCCCAAAAGGAATTTACTTTATAAAAAATGACGCGGAGTAGGACTCTCTTCGGTTAGACAGCAAATCATCACGTGCTAAGCGCGTGATAATTACTTTCTCTATTTATAGGAGCCTTTTAGGAGATATTCAAAAGTCGAGTGTCTTAGGGTTAGGGCTCTTAATTTTCTGTCTACCCAATTTCTGTGATCTCTTCTAATATCAGGCTTTGCGTTCGCGCAGTCCCTACTAATCTTCAGTTATTATATTTCTTATATATACCATCTTCGTCTTCTAGGGAAAAGAAACCCCTAAAATTATTCACGCTTTGATCACAAGTACATAAGTAATCAACTAGACGTGGGATTTTGTCTCCTTTGTGCTAAAGGAATAAGTGGTATAAGCCTATGAAAAGAGATTCTGTCTCCTATGTGCTCTCTCCTATATAAATGTTCGATCGGATGCTTATGGGCATTGTTATTTTCCAAACATGAATCGGTATATGTAATTATGTAGACTGTGTTTGATGACAGTGAGATTGTTTTAATGGTTTAGATGGTCTCAACATATTTAAGGAGTAGAATTATTTACCCCAAAGGGAGCGCTTCAACCCCAATCATATTAATTACAGTCTACACAAAACAGAACTAAAAGAAGAGGTAGTTAAAACTTAAAACAGAACTAAAATGACGATATTAATTCTTTCGGTCAGTTCTTTTTATGCAGGGCTTGTAAAAATGAACTAAAAGGTGATGTTGAATGAAATCGGAGGTGGTGTGATAGCTTTAACTGATAATGACACTTTGATAGATCACAAAAGAGATGGACATGATAACTGTTTGGACGTGTTCAACTTCGAAAGCGTGGAGCATTGCGCGAACGCAAATCTCCTCATAATTGACGGTCAATTCGCTCATGAAAACAACTCTTCACAGAAGAGCGTGGAGCATTGCAATTGCAGCCATTGCACAAGTGTTATTTTATTATCAGTCCAAATTACAACCATGTTCATGTTACTTACTTTTTGTCAGTTGTACAACTCTTTTCTTCCTAATCATTCAAGCGTTTATTACTATTACTATTTCTATCCAGTGAATTTTAATTTGAAAAAAAAAACCCAAAATTTTCTCATTGGTCATACTCAGGATCAAACTCAACACGGAGTAGAAAAACAAAAAAGGCAGGTTCCTCTAAACAGTAAAAACGCTACCTTTACAGCAATCTCGAGTCATAGACACATTGTGAATTAATAGGAGATTCCACATCGGTTGGAGAATAAATTGACAAGTCTTGGATGTATCATAAAATGGAGCTAAAAAGCATTGTAAAAAGCATCTTTGTGCTTGGGGCAATGACGCAGCTAGTGAGGTAATAACCGAGGCGCGTCTATTGCCTGGTTGAAAACTATTTCCAAACCCCCTCTCTGGTCTTAGTTCACCCTTGGCCTTTGAGAATTTCTAGGACTCCCATCGGGGTAAAGCCCTACAATTTTTAGTGTACAATACTTTCTATGTTATTATCATACTCTAACTTTAAATATTGCAAATGTGCAGTCGAAACAAGTACCCAATCCATTAACACTTTTAAATAATATATATTTTGGGGAGACCTTAGAGCAATACCCCTCCCAAGTGCAATGGAGGTCACTGTCCTAGGCCATGAGTCTTTTTGATCGCACATTGACCCCATCCAGGTAAGGATGTTTAAATATTGGCATATATTCTTATCTTATACATCCCCTTGAATTTTGTTTATGGCATGTCAGAGATGTGGGACTTAAAATTAATTGAATATTATGAAATGGTTCAAGGCCATTTTTGTGAAGGATTATCCCCTAAAAATAAGAGTGAGTTTCTTTTTTCTTCAAATAACATACCAAAAGCAACAAGGCATAAAAAAGAAAACAATGTTCTATTATGTTCTCCTCCATCTTTAGATATCCATAGATTGTTCTATACAAAATAGACGTAGAAGTTCATTATAGAAATTGAAAGTCTTGTTACACATTGTTTAATGGACTATTTTCATCGGTGTAAAACACAGACAATCTTTGGATTTCATTGCATAAATTCAAAATCCGTCTCCTCAATTCAATAAATTCAAATTAGTCTCTCACGTGTATATTTGATTCGAAACTCATCTAGCTCGAATTCAATTCAAATTGTCTCGACATTATTGCTTAGAAACTCATATAGAAGGACATTCACTTTTACCTCCTTACCCCTAAAAATGTATACAATGACCAATTGAGAATGGCAACCAAGAGAAGTGAGAAACAAAAGATGCAAAATGCTAAGAAAAATGCATAAGAGTTGACAACACCTTACGAGGACAAATAGGTGCGTGTAAGTGTGATTCAATTCTTCATTCCAATTCTTTTTCTAGTATTGATAATAAACTGGATATTAGAAAAGAATCACCTGCTAAGCACAACTTTTTTTTCCTAGTGAGAAACAAGATGAAATAGTATTGTGTGATGCAAAAAGAAAATTGTTCACTAAAATCCTTCGAAACACTTTCTCTTCCAAAGAAATTATACTTCGATGACATTAAAAAAAATTAAGAGATATGAAGTGAGTGAGAACTAAGAGGTCGAGAGTGAAAATCGTATTAATGACACAACACTAGTGAGAAAAAAAGAAAGATGAGGTAAAATCTTATAGTTGGACAAAAAGTGAAAAAAAGAGAGAACATATTTAACTAATTATAATATTGTTTTTTCCAGTTGTGTTGTCTTCTTTTTTATAGGAATTCGTCAATCTATTATCAGGGGCTGAGATTAATAGCTCTACTTCTGACAAGATTCCTTTTCGATTGACATTAATGATCATTCCTCCATTGATACTTTAGATTGTCGATCTTGTCGATATTTTAGATTTGTCGATCTTATTGCTGTTGATATTTTAGATTTTTCGATCTTGTTGAAGACGAAAAGGAGAGTGATACAAAAATAAGAGATTTTTTTGAAAGGAAAGAGTAGGATCTCATTAAAAATATTCATCGATTTTTTTTATCTCAAATCAAACCAAACCAAAGATCGATATTGGACTTTACCCAGAAGGGAGTCCTTCCAGAAATTCTCAAAGGCCAAGGGTGAACCAAGGCCAGAGAGGGGGTTTGGAAATAGTTTTCAACCAGCCAGCAATAAACGCGCCTTGGTTATTACCTCACTAGCTGCATCATTGCCCCAAGCACAAAGAGGCTTTTTACAATCCTTGTTAGCTCCATTTTATCATACATCCAAGACTTGTCAATTTATTCTCCAACCGATGTGGAATCTCCTATTAATTCACAATGTGTCTATGACTCGAGATTGCTGTAAAGGTAGCGTTTTTACTGTTTAGAGGAACCTGCCCTTTTTGTTTTTCTACTCTATGTTGAGTTTGATCTTGAGTGTGACCAATGAGAGAATTGTGGTTTTTTTCCAAATTAAAATTCACTGGATAGAAATAGTAATAGTAATAAACTACTTGAATGATTAGAAATAAAAGAGTTGTACAATTGACAAAAAGTAACATGTATATAGTTGTAATTTGGGCAGATTATAAAATTAGAACACCTGTGTAACTGCTACAATTGCAATGCTCCAAACTCTTCAACAGAAGAGTTGTTTACATGAGTGACCGTCGATTATGAGAACGACCGCCTCGGCCAGCCCCACTCAATCCATCAATGTCTGCAATAGAGATGGCATTAAGTTCGGTTTCTAGACATCATTTACTACCTTATAAACCTTACCAAAGCCGTCGTCTCCCAACTTGTTTTCTACTGAAAAACAGTTTGTAGCAGCAGCAATGCTTTCGAAGTTGAACACATCCAAACGGTTATCATGCCCATCTCTTTCGTGATCTATCAAAGTGACATTATCAGTTAAAGCCATCGCACCACCTCCCATTTCATTCAACAGCACCTTTTAGTTCATCTTTACAACCCCTGCATAAAAAGAACTGACCAAAAGAATTGAGATCGTCATTTTAGTTCTGTTTTAAGTTTAACTACCTCTTTCATTAAAATAATCTAACTGTCACTAAACATCAGGGTTTTAAATCGCGGTGGCGGTCATGTTTTCGGTCATGTCGGGTTTACCGTGATTGTGGCCGTCGCGGGCGCTATTGGGAGCTATTGCGGGTGTAGCGGGTAACTCGGACGGCGGTGAAACCGTTATTTCACGGACGAAATCACGTTTTCGGACCGTGATTTGAAACCCTGCTAAACATAGTCTACATAATTACATATGTCGATTTATGTTCAGCAATGACAATGTCCACACCGAACGAGCATCTGATCGAACATTTATATAGGACCTTACTTCGAACAGGATCTCTTTCCATAGGCTCTTTCTTACCTCTGTTTCCTTTAGCACAAAAGAGACAATCTCATGTATGCTATGAATTATGTACTTGAGATCAAAGCATGATTTACGTGAGGGGTTCTTTTACCTAGAAGACAAAGATGATTACATATAAGAAATATTATAACTAAAGATTAGCAGGGACTGCGCGCACGCAAATCCCCTCTACCACAAATTATGACGTAGGCTCTCCCACTTGGGGAGACCTTAGAGCAGCACCCCTCCCAAGTGCAATGAATGTCACTGCCCCAGGCCATGAGTCTTCTTGATCACTCATTGACCCCGTCCAGGTAAGTATGTTCAAAAGTTGTGATATACTCTCATCTTATACACCACCATTTAATTTTGCTTATAACATGTCAAAGATGTGGGACTTGATATTACTTGAATATTACAAAATGGTTCAAGGTATTCTTTTTTAACTTTTATCTTCCTTAAAATTCTTAGATGTATTTGAAAATATTTACGGTATCCTTTTAGAGTTGAATTTATTTTTGTTTAATTTTGTGAAGCATAACCTTTTACCCCAAGGGATTCCTTATCTAAAATCCTTTGTTGGATCAAGCCAACATTCTCCATTGATGAGGCATGGCCAACGAAAAAATTCCACTCATATATGTAAATTTTATGAGAGAAAGGCCATGCAATAAACAATTTTGTGTTCCTAAAGGATACAATAAAAGATGCTTTATGAAAGAGTCTATTAGACAAAATTCTTGCAAAAAATAACGTAGCAGCAAGTCAGAAGACAAAATGCAGAGAAAGAGAGAACTCCAAGGGGAATTGTCAACCAACCAATAAAAGTTGAAGGATCTATCAACCTACCAATAACACTTAGAGATTGTGTAAAAGGACTATTTTTATTATTCACAAGGATATGTTTATATACACCTTATATGTAAGACGATAGTCAAATTACAATCGATTACAATTAGAGAATTAATAATAATTAAATTACAATTAATTATAATTAGAGAACTAATAGTAATTGCTTATAATTAGGAGATTTTGAAGCAGTAACTTTCGGTTGACCTTGAGCATTAAGTTTCGACTATAGACTTCCTCTTAACATGCCCCGCAAGAATGAGCTTCCATCAAGGACGTCATTCTTCTTCCGTAGATGCTCGAACCGTTGCCTAGACAGAGGTTTCGTAAGTCCATCCGCATATTTTTCTGTAGAGAAACATATTAAACCTTCAACTCATTCTCTTGTACTTATTTTCCGTACAAAGTGATAGTCTAGAGCTAAGTGTTTCATTCTTGAGTGGAAGACGGGTGGCGCTCAGTATGTCAAGTATATATTTGCGTTGAAGAAGGAGATTGGTATTAGTTTGTATTACTTCTATTCCCAAGGAGTAACTTATGCTTCCAAGATCTTTTAGGGAAAACTTTTCCGATAATTCTTAAACAAATTGTTGAGTTGCATCCTTGTTATTCTAAACTAAGAATTAAGTTATATTACGTCTTTGAGTCTACACAAAAAGGATGCATCAGCCGAAGTGTTTTGGAAGCCATAATCAATGACAAACTTGCTGGGTTCTTTGTACCAAACCCTAGGAGCTTGTTTTAGCCCATAGATCATCTTTTTTCAATTTGCACAAATAATATCTTTTGTCTTTGTCAATTAACCCTCTTCAAGACGCTCTCGGAGGAAGGCATTGTTGACATCAAGGTGAGTGAGTGTCCGGTTATTAGAGACCGCAATTGCTAGAATTGTTCGTATTATAGACGATTTAATAACTGGATAGTACGTATCCTTAAAGTCAATTCTCGGACGTTGATGAAACCCCTTAGCAACTAATCTTGATTTGAATCTCTCTATTGAACCATCAATATTTTTTTTTTGATTCGAAACACTTATTTATTGCCTACAATATTGTGTTTGGATCTGGGGGGGCGAGGGTCCACATGTCATTTGGAAATTAAGGCATTGAATTCTTTGGTCATAGCTTCTCTCCATTTGACCATCTTCATAGCTTCAGTTGCACACCTAGATTCAATTTGAGGTCTAGTTGGGTTATCCATGACATGGTAAAAAATATTTTGGGTTGGATTTTACAACTCATGTTTTTTATCTTATTTTTATTGGGTGGATGTTTGAGTTTGGGATAGAATCGAATGTGGATGTAGACGAATCACGTGTGAGATTGGTCTTGATGGAGGTGTATCAGTTGTAGGTCGTGGTTGGGAGAAGGTATAGTTTCAAGAGGTGGTGATGTAGACTGATTAGGAGGGTGAGCTTCAGGGAGTATATATGTTTGTAATTGACTTGAGCCAATGGACATACATGTGATGATTTTATTTTTAGGGTTAGCACAGACTACAATAATTAATTGAACAACTTCTCCTT